ATCCATCCCACCCCAACTCCCCCCGCCCCGAAGACGACGGAAAAGAAACACAATACAGAGGAAAGAGAACGAATAGCTCAGTATGCTGTTTATAGCGCCCTGGGTTGATCCCGCCAAGTCGCGCGTTACAGCGATGCAGATGGCACAGTATGTGCCCACCAGGGCGTTCGCCGTCTGGCACCACGTCCCGCGCTTCTTCGTGACCCAGGCTAGCCCCGTGCTGGCGTCAAGCGGCGCTCTAGTCCGCCGGATGTCATCACGGAGTAGCAGCCAAGCGGCGGAGGACCGCTCGTTTCTCGATGCCAATTGGCGGCGCGTCGAACGCGACTACGGCGTGCCACACGCTGAGCAGGCGGAGCTCGCTCGCCTCGCTCTCCGCTTCATGTTCGAAGAGAACACCGTCGGCGCCAATAGCGAGGCCTTGCAGTGCCTTCGCAAGGGCGACGGTAGCAGCTGGGGGGTCTGCTCGGACTATGCTCGCTGTGTGCAGACGCTGGCGGCCCGCGAACGGTCCATGGGTGGCCGAGTCAGTGTCCGTACGTACTTTGCTGCCAAGGACGCCATGGTGGGCAGCCGGGGGCAAAAGTACTTTGAGGAGTGCTGGCAGGCACCAGGAGTGGAGGCCATTGACTATGTCTCCACGACGGTCGACGGGACGGATCACGATACCCTGGTGCAGGCGGTGGGGGTATGGGAGGAGATATTCTCTTCGATACAGTAGATGAGTTTCAATGACTTATGATTCTTGGCCGGATTCGAGCTGTCTATAGTGCTGAATATACATTCAATACTCAATGAACATGAACTATAGCTTGAAAAGGTCATAAAAGGCTTTATAGAACGAAGTTCACTTGATTGCAGTCTATTCTGAAATACAGATAGATATCTAAAATACACGGTCTGAGTCCCAAGACTTCAACGACGGGGCTCACGTTCAAGACATATCATCCACTCTTTCACATGGCATCTTCTGCAATCTGAAGCGAGTGCATATCAATTTGCAAAGCCTGCCAGATTAGCCATCATTACCCTCAATGTAAATGTTATGTGGTGGTCACATGGCAAGTCAGCATACGTAACCTAATGATATATCCTGTCAGAAGTAAGTAGTGGAGAACAGAATAAGAGGATCTGTTTTGGCATGACTAGGCAATGGATTTGTGAAACAGAGCTACAGCTCTAGACAGTGTCTTATCTAAATTCACATAACTCAGTTTTATGAAGTGAAACAATTGATTGAGAGGGGTTTCTTAAATAGAATACATCTGAGTTGAGTTTCTTGCGTTACAAGTAGGCCGTCATCACAAGGCTAGGAACCGATCAAAGTTGCACCCACCGCTCATCAACCTGTTTGAGAAGTGCCCAACAATCAGACCATTTGTCCTGAAATGGTTCGAGAACAACTCCGCGCTGCTCAACAGCCTGATACAGCTGTTTGCACGCATCCTGCGCATCTCGAAGCATATCCTCCGGCGCGGCAACAAGCTTCCTTCTGGAGGTGTCTCCCTCTGGAGCCTCATAGTGTAAATCCAGGACGAAGCTCAGTCGTTCCAAGTTCGGCAAAAAGTCCGGAGACGCAAAGGACTTCATCCAGTTGGCCCACTCGCTGGATCTAGTAAGCGACGTGGGACCTCGAAAGCGTAGCGTTGAGAGATTCGGGGGAAACAACGTGTAGAGTGTTGGAAGGAGAGTTTCATCCTTGAAGATTTCGCCCACAGAGAGAACTAAGGTTCTCAACTCCGGAAGCTGCGGAAGAAGACAGGCAAACAGCTCTTCAGTCGTGAAGTGGAAATCTAACCCATGGGTGGAGCGAATGTTGAGCGTAGAGAGCTTCTCTACGACATGGGGAAGAGCAATGGTCATCCGGTTGAAGGTATCGATAGAATCATTTTCGAGTATCTCCAGCTTACCCATCTTTGTTGGTACTTCTTTTGGGAGAAACAGCAAGTCTTTGTTTGCCTGTATGGTCAACAGCGGATTTGAGCGCGTCCCGGCATACCGCTCATTCATTGCTTCTGAGACGAGTTCCGGAAGGAATACTAGCTCAATCTTCTTCTCCTCGGGCGTTCCTTCGCGGACAGTCATGTATTTAGCGGCTTTTTCTCCTCGGGAAATCGCTTCCTTGTTCGCGCGATACAGCTCATCGCTAGTCGGCCCCTCAAACCGTAGTCCAGATGTCCCGAGTAGAACGAGATGCTTGACCCTCCCTTCCAAAACGAATGGACTGCGAAACACTTCTGCGCAGGCGTCGCTAACAAAAAGCCGTTCCAGCGGCCAGTGTGCTGGTAGTTCCGAATCATTCAACTCCTCGTTGAAACCCGTGCGCATCTCGAGATCCTTGACACTACTGAAGTGATTGCCAAGCAGTGCCCATTCAATATTCGACGGTGTATCTTCCGTTATTTCAAGAAACTGGATATCCCGTGGGATCTTTTCCAGTTGCGCAAGAAGGTGGCTTCTGTGGTCATCGTATTCGCATTCGTGCGGGCCTTTGACCTGGACTGTGAACCGATGGCTGTCAGAGTGATTTGGTTTCTCACTGTTATTCTTTCGTGTGGACATATTCCGATGTTGTCGATGATCGGCAGCTATCGAAATTCGACAGACTTGCAACCGCCTGGGTGCAAGGCAGGGGACTCTTGCGGGGGATGACAGGAGGCCGTGGAAGAATATGCGTCTGGGCCAGGGCTATCCTCAGTGAGAAATGCTTTCTTAACATACGGTAAAGAAGGGAAGGGGGGATATGTACCATGGTGTTTAGAGGATGACAGTTGATGACAGAGGAGAGTTGGTGTTTACATCGGCCAATTAAGGTTATGAGCTCCACTTGGCGCTGACCCTGAGCCTTCCAAGTTATATCCCTTGACTGTTCAACATGCTTGGGTTATTGTGTTCGATTTTCTTCCACTTCCTGTACGGACGAGCTTCGAAGCTTATGGGATGGTTCCCCCGCGAGCAATTCCTGATAAGATGAGGACAAAAGACCCAGCTGGAACACCCAGGGTGGTTCTAGGAAGTACACAAGCTGTCCAAATAAGGTGCGGCGCCGTCTTGGCTACCCACCACTGTTAGACGCTCACGTGACCATGGGTCCTCTGTAGACTGTAGCTCATTGGGAATATCTCGAAAAATGACACGGATGTAGAACTCTGATGATTTTGACCAAGACGATGCTGACGTGGGCAGAATCATCAAAACTAATTTCAGAGTCTGAATTCCTGTTCCTGTTTCCTCCCGGCATGTCGAGAATATCGACAACATGGCCACTCCCTCATTTTCAACAAGTACTAAGGAATTTGAAGTGATCTCACGATAGGTGCAAGCTCAATGGCCCATGTTATACCCGGGAACGCCTTATGCTATGCAATGTCAAAACGCCAATAGCCAATAAGCCACCAGAACAGAATATACTAAGCAAAAGAATTGAAACCAGCAAATGCAGTGAGGCCTCGGACTACGCACGAAGCTGGTTGCCGGTATATACGCCCTCAAAGTCAAGTCCAGCCAGCACGCCATTGATCCGGTCAATCTCCCGGCTCAAATCCTCAACATTCATTGCAAGGCTGCTGACCTCATCAAATTTGCGACGTCTATTCGCATCCGCAATCATTTCTGAGACGAAGAATTTCTGCTCTTCTAGTACGATAAGGCGTTCACGCAGTGACTTCTCCTCTGCTTCCAAGGCAGAGACGGCACTACTCGTGTCGCTTGCTAGGCTGATGTTACTCTCGCTGGCAGCCATACTGTTATACTTGATGGATGCGAGTGCCGACTCTCTCGGTCGGTGACCACCCGCTGCATGATTGGGCGCAGTCCCAATTGAGCTGGCGGGGCTTGCAGGTCGCCCGTTTGGTGTTGCGTGCTTGAGAATCTTGGGCAAAGCTTTCAGCGGAAGCATGTGAAGGTGCAGAAAGTTAGTGGCTTGTTGATAGATGGCCTTTTGAAGCCGCTGTTGTGTTGGTGAGCTGGTTGGCATATCACGAATACGCCTGGCGGCGACATCATACTGGGCGAAGGAATCAGTAAGTCGTCTCCGGACTTTTGAGGCTTCAGCAATCTGAGCGGCAGAAGGGGGCCGCCTTGGGTCTCTGATAAGAAGGGAGGACGTTAGATATGTCAGTGATGAATTTAGATTCACAACATACTGCAAAGTTGTGAGGAGCTTCTGAAATTTGGGCAAGAGAAGCCGAATGCCCCTCTCAAATTGCGCCAGATTCTCGTACGCTCTGACATCCGGAGGTTTGCGCATGATATCTGCTTGGAAATCCCGTCGGTCGAACAGGGTCGATTTACACTCCTTGCAAAGCCTTATGTCAACATTGACAGCACCCGCATTCGGTGACTTTTCTCCAGTCGCTTTGGCCACTGTATTCAATTAGTATAAAATCGATACAGCTCAAAGGGGATAACAGGAGATACATACGAGGTGTTATACTAAGAGGAACTTCACTGGAACACCCAGTCGCAGGATCACCGCACACGACCCGCCCGCAGGTTCTGCAATGGTGTCTGCGAAAGGTATAACTGGTGAAATCCTGCTGGCAGAAGGGACACCGAAGTACACTAGAGTCGTCCTGCCAGCCGACAATCGTCTGCTCGAGCGCTCTCCGTTGGTCGTTCTGCCATGAGACTGGCCAGCGCTTGGCTCCACCCGATTGTATCTGATCCGGAGGTAGACTCGCTAATAGCTGAGTGAGTCGTGTCAATCGCTTTTCCAGCCGAGAGACTTCCAGTGTGGCTTTGTCAACGGTCTGCTTCCTCGCAGCCTTGAATTCGTCCATTCGGTCTCGAACCAGGCCTGATTCGACTTAGTACTGCCATGCCACAATCGTACAATCCATAGACAACATACCATTATGGTCGTTGTACCCTTCCCTTGATTTATAGCAGGTCTCACAGACCCTATACCACAAGCCCCTCACAGGCTCATGCTGCGCCGATCTGGACAGTTTCATCTGGTACATGGTATGCTCCTCGCAGAAGAGCTTCCCGCATTTGCGGCAGTTGACGCAGCCATTGGTGGCATTCAGGCGCTTCCCGCAAGACGGCTCCAGACAGATGTCATATAATCCCCGAGCTTGCCAGTGATCCTTTGCGATGATGTCTTCAGGGTCCAATATTTTTGGTGGCTCGTGGTAACTCGGCTGGGGCCCAGCGGCTCGACTTGGACCAACGGAAGGTTGATGGTTCTCGTTCGACTCGAAGACGTCCAGCCCTTTTAGTTTCTGATTCAATACAGCTAGAGGCTGAAACCGCTTCGCCTTTTCCATCTGCACCTTGAACCAATCCTTGACTTCATCTTGCCGATCGTCTTCGAGGTTTTGATGTACGTCATCGAGGTGTCTGGGGATATTGTGTTAGGCGCACGTCGCAAATACAGCGTATCGAAACAAATACCTATTCAATTGCAAGAGAGTCACCTGTAACCTGTTAGCTTATCGCACGATGACATGTTTGCGCAAACCAAAGCCGGAACAGAGGGGCGTAGACCATACCATCTCCTCATTGCAGATCGGACAAGCAAGCTGAGCTCCGGCAGCCGCCGGGGCCGCGGATATGGACGTCGCACCATTTTCTAGGGAAATCCGGGAAGTGAGATCTTGTGTTTCGGATGAGAACTGGGAGGCGGAAGCCTGGGAATTGAGGGAGAGGCTGCTGGCGGTCGGCGATAAGATGCTTGGCTTCTGTTGCGGAGACAGCGTCGATGCAGCAGCAGCGAGAGCGTTCGGAGTGCCCAGGACACGACCTCCACCCAGCGTCCTCCGGGACATGGTTAGATGACGTTTATGGGAGCATGGGAGATAGACCCGCGACAAGTGGTAAGACTGGGCGGGTTTTGTCGGTGGATTTGGGGCGACAAGGCGATGATGAGCATAGCCTGCCTGGCTCTGGCAATCAGGCTGGGGCATTTGAGGGGGAATTCCTAGCCTGAGGCAAAAAGTTAATGCCTCAGGTGCTAAGGCAGCAGTATCTCCGCCATCATGTCATCAGTCATCACCATTGTCCTTGCTTTAAGACTTCACCTGCTCCTAATTAGAAGCGGACAGCTTTACGACTATGGAATGGATTAAAAGTCTTCTAGTTCTAGTGTTGTTTCAGGGACCTGAGCACGAGATTGGGGTTCATAACGATCGTAATATTTTCTCTAATCGCTAAATAACAGGACCAAAAACAAACAAATCAGATTTTTTTGTGCTTTTTCATCACTTTTCAACTTTTTTTTCTGTTTTGAAGCCCCAAAAATTTCTTTACTTTTTCAACTTTTCCACATCAAATGCATATATACCAAGATGCAACCCCCCTATGTACTGCTGGTGTGCGCCAACACCCATCTCCATTCCTCCCAAACTCTACCGCTCATAGTCGCGATGGTAGCTTGTCCCGGTATTAGGGTTGTCATATTCCCTATGGACACGAGTGGTGCCGTCGTCGCGGTAATCAACATCGCGGTGGCGGTATGTACCGCTAGGATTCACTCTCTCACGGTGATGTCTCGTCGAGCCATCGGTGCGATAGTCCATGTGCTGGTCGTAAGCTCCGGTGCTGGGATCATAGGCGGTCGTGCCGTATCCATTGTCGTAGGTGGTGCCGTATGTGCCAGCGGTGGTACCGTAGCCCCTGGTGCCGTAGCCCGTGGTACCGGCGGTGGTGCCATAGCCGGTTGTGCCGGTTGTGCCATAGCCAGTGTTGTCATAGCTGGTTCCCGTGGTACCTGTGGTACCCGTAGTACCATAGCCCGTTGTAGAGCCGGTCGTGTCATAGGTGGTTCCGGTGGTATCGGTGTAGTCGGTCATGTTGATTGCGTTATGTTGTAACTTGCCAAAAGACAGTATAGCTTTTTTTTATTTGTACAGTTTGGTAGCGAATATCGCAAGAGACTCAGCCTGATTGATACGCAGAATCTGATCTGATCCAGGAAAAACCAACTCCACCCGGTGTCTACCTCGGCCTGCCTTATATTATCTTTCGTGGCGTTGGATAGCACAGCAATGACCCTTTTCTGACATCACGGGCGGCGTCAACACCTCAGCGGCAATGATACGCGACTGGCCGGAATCGAGCCCAAGGAACACATGCGAGTCCAGTATTCGCTGCAAATGCTTTCATTTCATATCGAAACGCCTTCCCGTGGAAACGGATCTCTTTCCAGACCACCAAGCTGGTTCTGGACTCCGATGATGTATCTCGGAGTGAGCGAGGTTCGCTGGAGGACTCTACCTTACCACGAGCCACCACCAGAGATATGGTAAGACTCCCTATTTGGACAGATTTGCAAGTCACGTCTTCTGGAAGCGCTTAGAACGAGCTGGTACAGGCAGATGTCAAAGGTGGCACCTTGTGGTAAACATGAGCCGCACAATTGTCCCAGGTTTGCATCACGCTCGAATGTCATGTCTTTCTGTGATATTCTGTCAGTCAAGGAGTTTCTTTCTTGCTCTCGAGTTGCGCCGATGATGATTGCAATCCCTTGCCATGTTGGATACGCCACGGCTTTCTAGAACAATCTGCGTACCAAACCGGTAAAGGATCTACCTGCAGCTAAATCAGCAAACGCTGTAGTG